TGGAATGGTCTGGTCTGGTCTGGTCTGGTCTGGTCTGGCAAGGAAAGCTCACTTGAAGGGCTCGGTGGGGTGCTTTAGGTCGTCGGGCAGCAGCGGCAGGCGCTTGTAGAAGAACTCCCAGTCGAAGGCGCCGCGCGCGCCCTCGTCCTGTGCGCGGTACTCGAACGTCTCGAAGGCGATGACGTCGATGAACGGACAGACGCACGTGCGGTAGTCCTGCGCGATGGGCTCGAGCAGCGGCGGCAGCCAGTTGACGTTGGCCTCGGTGTGCGAGTCGAGGAAGATGAGCACCTCGGCGGAGGCGGCGCGCGCCCCGGCCAGCCGCGCGCGAATCAGCCCCGAGCGCTGCGGCAGGTGCAGCACACGCACCTTGGGCAGGTGCTCTTCCACGTAGCGGTCCAGCGGCGCGCCGCAGTGCTCTGCACACACATACATATAGCAATGTCTCACAAATGAAAACAATATCAAGGAAAAGGAATTGAGAAGTGATTTTAATAATTTGGCCATGTATTATTGTTTATAATAATGTAGCTCTGGGTCAGCGAGCTCGCTTTCCACTACGCGACACCAGGTTTGATTCCCGGTCGAGCCAAGACTGTAGTGTGCTTTTTCCTTGCAATGTCCCAATGTATGTTGCTGTATGACGATGAGAAAATTAACTATTCAGGTTGAGAAGACCGGAATACGACGTGGGGATGTCTACGTGCTAACCACACGTACCCCCTTAACCTATGGCCGCGAGGCATGGACGTCGCCGGTAGGCCTGGGTCCGTTCACGGGCAGTCGTGCGTGCGTGCGTGCGTGCGTGCATGCATGCATGCATGCATACATACATTATAAACACAGATGATCTTCAAACAAACAGGAGCGGATCCGTAAAGTAGTGGCGGGAGGGAAGGGGAGGCAGAGGGGGCTGAGTTCACACCCCCTCAAAATATTTTTTGAACAATACATTAAAAACAGATTGGCATAACAAAAATGCATATTGATAATCCGCATACTCATTTGTAATGTGACATAATTAATGTTATATTTTTAACTAATTGTGTAAAAAAAAGTGTTTTGTCCTTGCCACCTTGCCCCACTCCCCCTGGATCCGCCAGTGACTTTGACCACGGCATTTACAATAATCGTAAACGATGGAGATGTTTTGTACGCAGTTTATTAGTAACGTACACACGACATAGAATTTGCACAAACGCGACTGCATTCTGACGCTTGGTTGCTTCTGCATTCTGATCCCCAATCCTGACAGCGTACGTGTGAAAGTAATTGTGTGCGTTCACGTGCAACATTACGTACTCTTTCATGTATGTTTTAAGTTTCACCGAGAATGAATATACTCTTGTAGATTACAAGAAAATCCGCGCTCCACGGATCAATTAGGTTTAGGGCTGCACCAGGGTCGGATCCAGAGAGAAATTTTGGGAGGGGAAATTCAAAATGTTTTGGTCGAATGTGTCAGGTTACAGATTCTGTAAAATGTAACAGGCTACACTCTCCGATACGATACGATTTGATTCGTTTTAATGATTATACGAAAATATTTTTGCTTGAAAGTTTCTTGCCAAGTCAAAATTAATAGTTACTGAAGGGGGGGGGGGCGTCATTTTCCTCCTCGTGGATCCGGGCTGCACACACAGTGCCCAGCGCGCTGGCCTGCTCTCCGGCAGGTCCGGTGGGCGAAAGAGCAACAGAGCGCTGACGGCGTGCGATTGAGCAAGCGAAGAGTACAGGGAGGGCTAAAATCGCACAATCCTGAACTTGATAACTGCCTCATATATGTCAATGGCTTACACTAATCTTAATCAAATTCTATTAGTATGTAAAAACTTAATACAAAACAATGTGTTTCTATTATATTATAATATAGACAATCGCTGATTTTAAAAGAGAAATAAGTCCACTTTTTTTTCTTCTAAAAAAACGTTGAGATATGAATTTTCTATGTTACTCTTCAAGCTAAATATCATTGCGCAAAAGAAACTTGTAGAGCTTAAAGTATATGTTCTATTGCCAACTACAAATTCTAATGAATGGAAAAGAGAAAGAAGTCTAGTTTTTGATCGCCATACAGAATAACTAGTATTATCAGCTAGAAAACTCCTGCATCCTTCGTGACAACAGTAATAGACACCGAGGACATCATAGACCAAACCTGTTGGTCGAACTATTTTAAAAAGACAGCCAAGTCTCTTGCTCGTTCAGGCGGTTCTCATTCTGAGCCAGGTGTGACTGCTTCGAGCAGCTAACTTATGATAAAGAAGGTTTTGGTTATCACGTAGCATGTGTATACAGTATATTTCTATTGCCAACTACTGGTGACACTGGCGTTTGGGCGTTTCTGAAAATTTGGAACTTTGAGCTAGTTTTCACAGAAAACGGTTGAGTATTCGAGAAACTTTGTAGAACATTATTTAAAGCACATAGAATATAATAACGTGAACAACCTGTCGCTATTGTAAATATCAACTAGGCGAGAGACAGGTCAAAAAATTACTTTCTTTAATTTTGGTAAAAACAAAAAAGTACGCAATAGGGGGATCATGTCATATTATAGTGAATTTAGCACTATCCCTACCAAAGTTAAGAGAAAAAATTGGTGACGCTCTTGAGGAAATCTTTTTATGACTTCTTAAATTGTACATATTGCACGCAATATTGCGTGAAAAGTACCAACATTTTCAAAAAATGTACATGAACTTAATAAAGAACTCACTATGGAAAACAAATTTTATGTGAAGGATAGAACTATGACAGGAGTCGACTGATCATTGTACATCACAGAAATGCAAATTTGAAGTTACAGAGTAGCCCAAGCAATAATGACGACACACAACATTTGTTGAGAACATTAATGTCCCAGATGTCAACTGTGGATGTTATTAGTTTTTTTTCTTTGTTTTTCATTTTCGAAGCACTATATAACAAGGACTTATTTCCCTTTTCAAGTCACCGATTAATTTTATTATTTACTCCCAAACATAACCAGTTTGACCTATTTGAATGGACTGGTTTTAATATAGGTTGATTCTAAATTAAATTATTCTTAATTTTGAATTGAATAAAATCATGACAGAAAGATCAAAATGAGACACAATAGCCTTCGCTTGATTAAGCAGGCAAACAAACAGGCACTGATTCTGGAAAGGATAGACATTTTATTACTTCTGGTGAATTTCTTTGTTCAACCCTACCCAAGCCATTCCATTTCTTGTTTTAAATTCTATTTTTCCAAAGCAACACGTGTCTGGCAATTCCATAT